TCAAACAAGAAATGCATTTCCATTTTTTTTTTTTTTTTTTGGTCAACATAATCGACCAACCGAGAGTGCAATTAGAAAAATTGTTCATAAATTCAAACAAACTGGTTCGGTGGCAGATGTGAAAACACCATTGCGTGCTCGTTTACGCCGTTTAACTGAAAACATTGATGTAGTGGACGAGAATATGGCCGAAAATCCAGACCCCTCTATTTGTCATCGTACGCAGGAATTGAACCTCTCCACAACAACGTTGCATCGAATTTTGACAAAAGATTTGTCTCTAGACGCTTACAAAATTCAATTGACACAAGAACTAAAACCAGCTGACTATTTTGAGAGTCCAATGGGTGCTCGAGCAAATATAACCCGATGAACATTTTTCGCAAAAATTCCTCTTTAGTGACGAAGTCCATTTTCATCTAGGTGGATTCATTAATTTGGGCTGATGAAAATCCAAGGAAGCTACTACATCCACAAAAGGTCACTGTTTGGTGTGCATTTTTTGCTAGCGGAATTATTGGACAGTATATTTATAAATTTGAACGTCCATTATCATGATAGGCCTCGATAGCTTTAACACGTTGTTTGATTGTTAATCTTTCCATAGTTGAAATTGGCAGACTTAAGTTGTTAAATCTGAAAGAAAAAAGAAAAAAATCATCACACGCTTAAAATTAATTTACATTTAAAATCGGTTCAAGTTATTGGAACAGCCTATATAAGCAACAGGCTTAATTATGCCACGGAAATAATAAACAAAATCAGCAAACGTCGTGTAGAGAGAGATGAAACTGTAAACTACATCATCATATCTGAATTCAGAAAGATAACAGAAAGAGAATAAAAAAGAAAACTTGATGGGGTAGAAACAAAGACCGACAGTGAACCGCACAAATAACTTGAGTTTGTTTTACTATAAATTCAATGCAGAAAACATGGGAGAATGTATAAATAAATTTAAAAAAGAACAAGAAAATTGTAAAGGAAATATCTCTATCTATAAAAGGCAGGGTGTGTGTGTGTGTGTGTGTGTGTGTGTGTGTGTGTGTGTGTGTGTGTGTGTGTGTGTGTAAGGAATGCTCGGCCGCAATTTTCGATGGATTTGCACCAAAATTTATATGCACATGCTCCAAGTTAGCGGGAAAGGCCAAGACCGACTTTGCATTTCCCAACTCCCATCGTTAGTGGAAATAATCGATTTTTCATGCTTCTACTGCAGTTTTCATGTAGTTTGCGACCATTTTCTACTGGCCAGAGTGATAGCCAGTAGCTGGCTGCTACGAATAGGCAGAAAGATTCTATTGGCCAGTGTGAGAGCCAACAGCTGACTGACACGAATGTTAACTAGCATGCAAAAAAATCGATAGCTGCATTCGTCACAAGTGGGAAAAATTTAAATCTGCATGGCACTTTACTCCAATTGGCTCATTCGCTTTCTTAAACTCAATGTTGATTCTGATTCCGCAGAACTGGGTTTGGGTGTGAAAAAGTATTTGTTGTTAACATTCTTTTTTCATTCGGTTTTTTCCAGTTACGAGTCATTTTTTAAAGCTGATCGTTTTGTGTTCATTTTGTTTAGTTCTTTTTTCGTAACAGATTTAATGTTTAGTATAGAACTTACAAAAAATCCGCAGTGTGAGATAGGCAAGAAGTAAGGCATGTAGCAATATCAGCACGGCAAAGAGCACTCCTTTAAAGGCAAGGAAGGGCAAAAATATTTTAAGTCAAGTGATAGCGATTGCTGTATGAGTCGTACGATTTTTGAATCAAGCACGGGCAACGCCGGGCCATGCTGCTAGTCCAGATTAAATATTAACGGCTTTTTTACAAAAATCGCACAATTTCATTCTTTTCTTTCCTCACGAGAAACGCCAGCTTAGCGGGAAAAAGTACTAACGATTTATTATTTAAGTATACACACAACTACGCAAATATTTTCGTTATTGAAATCACCCCTAATTTCATGTGACATAATTTTTATAATTCTTTAACAATAAATGAGAAAAATTAAAAAAATTAAAAAAAATTTAAATATTCATATTTTATATCATGCAATTTTATTAGGCTCTCTTGAGAGTATGTGGTATTGTAGTAAATGTAAGCTTGGGTGAAGAGGCATTAGTTCTTCCGCTGAATGAGTAAATTGTAATAAATGAATGGATCGTGAATCAGATTAACTAGATTTTGGGAAGTCTGTGACGGCCACTCTCACCCAAATTCCCTTTCGGCCTTGTGCCAAAATTGCGTGTAAAAGTACAATAAATACAGATATTCCTTTCTTTCGTTTTTGATCTGATAAAGCCGAGCAAGGGCGAAACTGGTAATCTAGTTTCAATGAAACGGTTTTCCATTTGTCATATTCTTCAAACTAATAACAACGTAAGAGATTGATAACATTTTTCATCAGAAACTGTCAGCTTGTTGTGCAAGCAACGAAAGCTCTTCGGACAGCAAAAGATCTTTGAGTTTCTCATCATTATTTATCCCAGTACAACACAATTATTATCTTTCTCGGTCTTTCTGTTTTAATCATTTACTAAGCTTAGTAGAACACTCTACATCAATAATTCTCTGCGAGACAAGTTTGGTAAGTACTACTCCACGAAAAGGTACCTAATTTTTCTGATTATTTTTTATAATATAGGTTCACCCAAAACAAGGTCCAAGAGTTACTTAGGGTATAGTGTCAAGGAATGTGACTGTTACAAAAAGAGTAAGAAATGCATACTGTATGGAAATATAAGATAGATAAAAATTGCGCCTAGATTTGATCATCCTCGCGGGAGTCTGTTTCAAAGTAACAGTTCTGGGGAAGAAGCAGTCTGAGGGGAAACTTCCTCCTTATCAATGGAATACGAATTGAATGTCGATCTTATGTGCATGAGATGGCGGGTCCTAGCCGTGAAGGCCTGAACTGGTGATACTAAGGAATGTAGCTTGTCTGGACATTTTCTATGAAAATAGTGATAGAGTAGCGATAGATTAATAAAGTTTTATCTGTGGGGTAGGGTGGAAAATAGTTCAACACCGACAAGGCCGCGTAAATGCTTTTGAACTCTGACAAGCCTGCAAAGTGATGATTGGGCCATTCCAGCCCAAATATGGCAGGAATACTCCATTTTTGGTTGGATCTCACTCTTGTAAAGATATAACATGGCATAAGGAGTCAAAAAGTTTCTAGAGCTGTACTATTTTTTCAGTATCTTTAGCGATGGATTGTATTTATGAGTTCTACTTGGGGTCTGGAGTGAACTTGAATGCCAATTGACGTCCAAAGCATAGATGATCGTTAAGAGTTCGACCGTTCAAAATGGCTGGAGAATATTCAGGGTCTGATCCGTGACGATGAAACGTAACGAGCTGATGGTCATTTGTCGGATTAAGCCAAAGTTGGCATAAGGTCACTTTTACGGAGCACCCAGAGAAGAAAGCTTACGAGACGAGGCATTATTTGTCTTTGTTTTTAGGAAGTTTTCGGTGGAGATTTTTTTTATGGGGGAGGGTGTTTTTTGCTATACGAATTTGGAAACATCTTTGAATTCACTTTCAGTTGATTGAAAAACAAGGACACATGGCCCGGTGAATAATAGCGTTAGTTGGATCTAGTGACTTGACCCAAAGAGTTGTGAGTTCAATACCTGGCTACTGCAGTAGTGAACAAAACTTGGAGAGTTGAATTAAAAGCAGATAAACTGAGACATCCGGAAAGGGTATGGCAAGTGGAACTAGAACAATCTACCCCCGTGGGCAAAATAAAAGGTTCAGTTCGAAATTCCAATCACCTGAAGAAGGCCAAAGCGTACAACGGCCGAAATTTGGTGAATATGGCAATGAAGATGACGACCACAGTTCGAACAATGTAATGTAAATAAAAAAAAGACACGTACAATTGCAATCCTGCAAGTGATTCAGCAGTATTTTTTGCTGATTAATAAAACATGCATATAGAACGATTATGTTCCGTCAAACACTTCTCTTTGAGCGATAACTAGAGGGATTGTCGTGAAATCCAGCAGTAATGAGTTAATTAGAGGTGCTTCATCAGTGTCCACATGTGCATTTATGGGCTTTTGTCACAATTGGCTACGTTAATGATGAAGGCGTCACCAAGGAGTAACGTTTAGCGAACTGGTCCAATCGGCAATTTACTAACATGTAGCGACGTCTGTCCTCACTTAATGACACCTAACTATGACCTTGTGTCAGACTAAGAAACAGAGAGAGAGAATGTAAGACAGAAATAGAAAGAAAGAGCCCCATATGCTGCGTAAATACGATGGATGCAGACCGTGTCATTATATCAAGCATGTTCCTCTCTCAGACCAGTTCGTTAGTTTTATGTTCTTTCTCCACTGGGTGGCTCCAGAAAAGTGGCCTTGTACCTGATTAAACTAAGTTTAGTAAATAACTATGGACGCTTTGTCATAGAGTAATGGTTAGCAAGCTGGTATCATAAAACATTACTGCTGAGAAGTGAATTCAATCATTATACTTGTAGGTGTTTTGTGATATGACTCAGCTGTGCTCAGTAAACAAATATGAGGCACTTCACCTCAGAGCAATAATAAATGAAATAAACTCAGAAATAGTTTTCTACTGTACAGTCGGATTTAACTTTACTGCGTTCCCCACACTTGAAACCTTGTAGTAAAACATGATACGCTAAGTACATAATTAATCCACATGCTTATGTGTAAAAATATTAATTTGTTTAATTCTCGAGTTCTGTCAATTTTGTCTAATAATTTGTTTCTTGGAAATATAGGTATTATATTCTGACTTTATTCATATTTAATCTTTTCTTTTTCTGTCTTACCTTCTTTCTTTTTTTTTTTCTTTATTTATTCCTTTCCTCGTCTTTTGTTCTTTCATTATTTATTTATTTATTTCTCTTTCGTTTTCACTGTTTTTCTCTTTTCTCCTACTTCCTTTGTATTTCTTTCTATTTCTTTCTCTCTTTCTTTCTTTTTTCTTTACCTTTCTTTTTCTCTATTCCTTAGTTTTGTTCTATTTTTCTCAATCTTCCTTTTTATTTCTTTTTGTTTATTTCTATTTCTTTCTCTCTCTCTCTCTCTCTCTCTCTCTTCCTTTCTCTTTTTTCTGTTTCTTTCGTTTCCTCTTTTTCTTTCTTTCTTTCTTTCTCTTTCTTTGTCTTTCGTTATATCTTCTCTCTATTTCTGTCTTTCTTGTCTTTTTCTTTCTGTTTCATTTTTAGATTTCTGGCTTTCTATTTCTTCTTCTCTAAACCTGTTTCTTTCTTACTATTTCCATTCTCTTTCTTTCTCTCACTTTATTTTTCTTTGTCTTTCTTTCTGTTTTTCTTTTTTTTTTCTCATTTTTTCTTTCCTCATTTGTATTTCTTCCCCTTTCTCTCTCTATCTCTTTCTGTCTATTTCTATTTCTTTTTCTTTCGCTTCCTTTCTGTTTCTTTCTTTCTTCCTTTCACTTTCTTTTTCTTTCTTTCTGTTCCTTTCATTCACCTTTGTTCTCTCTATTTTTCTCTTTCTTTCTTTCTTTCTTCCTCTGTATTTCTTCATATGGCTTTCGCTTATTTAATTCTATTTCTTTCTTTTTCTTTCTTTCTTTCATTTTCTTTTTCTTTCTTTCTTTTTTCTTTTTCTTTCCATGTTTCTTTTTCTAAATCACTTTCTTCTTTTTTCTTTCTCTCTTTTATCTCTTTTTTTATTCTTTTACATTTTCTTCTGTTTCTTTTCTCTCTTTCTTTTTTCTTTCTTTCTTTCTTTCTTTCTTTCTCTCTCTCTCTCTCTCTCTCTCTCTCTCTCTCTAGCTGTCTTTTAACTTTGCTTTTTCGCTTTATTTCTTTCTTATTCTATTTTCTTTGCATTTCCTTACGCCCTTCTGTCTACCATCTGTTCTAAATTGTACGCCTCTCATTTTAAACACCTGTTTCGTATCTATTTATAGGGAGTTTTTTCCCAATTTTTATTTACCCTGATCAGTTATTTATTTACTGTCACTGTCAGTGACACGCCAAACAGATACAAATTATTATACACACACACATCATATTAAAACTCTTCTAATTCTTTAGTTCCTTAGTTAGCGCCTACGTTATGCTCTGTCAATACCTCATAAATAATGGACTATTCCGTTTTGATCACGAGGAAAGACGGAAAAGTCATATCAGAGACGCTGTTTCGTTTCAAAGAAAGAAAGAAAGAAAGAAAGAAAGAAAGAAAGAAAGAAAGAAAGAAAGAAATGATAACGGAGGCGAAAACGCTTTTATGTCTTTAACGTCTGCTTCAATGAAAATCAAAACCTTTACAGTTTTCAATAGTTTTATTTCTGCTCTATTATTTCTAGTTTTATAATTTGCAAGGAAATTATTCAATCATTAATTTAAGAATTACAATTCGTCAGAAAATTAAAATAAAAAAGCCGCAAAATTTTCACGGGTAGTACTACAAATAAACAATTCAACCACATAAATGTACAAAATTCAATATTAAATAACCCAACAAGTTTTGATGACGTAAAATTAACAAGCGAACTACAAAAAAAACAGAAATGGTGGTGATCCATTATTGCCCACACCCTGAAAAGTATACGACACATAAAAAAAAAGCTTATTATATCACCAGAAATGACTTCGTGCATGAAATAATTTATATGAAATCAGCTGTGAACGTTACTTTCTATGTGCAGTTTCCCACCAGGACGTGGGCGATCATGGCTCTCTAGAAATTTCTACCGTTTATAACTCCTAGTTAGGTTTGTCTTTTCAGCATCCTTTCTACTCCCTGTTCTGCCATCCATTTACACAAATTTCTGCAGCTTTTCTCTGTTCCTCTTTTTTTCAGTATCTACATCTATAATTCTCAAAATGTGTGTGTATATATGTGTGTGTGTGTGTGTGTGTGTGTGTGTGTGTGTGTGTGTATATGTGTGTGTGTGTGTGTGTGTGTGAGAGAGAGAGAGAGAGAGATATCGGATGTTGTTTATCCGTTTCTACATTTCTCATCCGATTTCGATGAAATTCTTTTGTTTCATAGAAAATTCTTCAGTGCCGGTTTTGAATCCAAATTGGCTGGATAAAATACAACCTTGAAGGTGAAAAAGCGAAAAAAACTGATTTTTTACACTTTGCACAAAAATCAAAGGCAAAATTTAATGTCTGTAAAAGCAGCATACAATCAATTTAGAGAATTGAAATCTAACACGAAAGATTATTAGAATTATAAAAAAAAATATGTTATAAATAAAAATTATCGTATGTTATTATGCATGGAAGAGTTTCCTTCTTTGCAAGACTGAGAACTCAAAAACGGCCCTTTTCAGAGCCAGTCCCCATTCACATTGTTAACCTCACCATTTGTGGGTGTGCATCAGTTGCACCCAAATGTTGTTACTGATATTGATTTTCAGGTGGGCTGACTTTAAACTTAAACTGTTCCAATTGAACGGCAAAAATGAAAGACTCGGTCGAAGATGGGTTATACTGCTAGTCTCTTATAAGTGTCAAATTCTCCAAACACTCTTTCCTCATTATGTGTCCTATAATTCCCAACAGCCTCTCTTTGATTTTAAATGTAAGCGTCTTCTTTTTTTTATTTTTCTTTAAACTTCTTTATTACTTACATGTTCAGTTTATAGTAATCCCAGCATCCTCCTGTAGAACCACATTTCTTTTGCCTCAAGCCCCTTCTTCATCTGCGATGAGATTGCCCAGCATTCACTGCTATATAAAAGGACCGATATCGCATAACTGTTCAGTACACTTTTCTTTGTTTCTAACGCTATTTTCCTGTTTCTTAATACTTTGCTTAGATTTTGGAAGGCATTTTCACTGTCCAAATGCGCCTTCGCATTTCGGTGTCGCGTTTTCCTGCTAAAATACTTCCTAGATATTTAAATTTTTGTACTTGTTTAATTTTGGTGTCCCCAATTAGTAGTTTGCAATATTGCTGCCCCTCTCGCAGACAACTATACATTATGTATTCTTACAATTGATACTTAGTCCTTTCTTCTCGCTTTCCTTTGCTACCTTCTATAATAGTTCCTGCAGTTACTGAATATTTTACAAGTACGATATTACGTCTCTCTGAGAAGAGGAAGATCGTCGTTAGATCCGATGTGCTTTAACCGACTGGGCTACAGAGTACCTTTGCCGGTCAAGCAAGGTCCAAACAGTGCCTTTAAGCAAAATCCATCTCGTCATATATTCTTCTAGATTTTCATATCTACTCAGTTCCATATCCAAACGTAAACAAAGCAATTTTCTACAGAAGTAATGGATTTCTATTTATTAATCCGACATATTTTTATCACTTTAAATGTTATTTTTAGTGGATACCCACATTTGAGTAGACGTTCCGTTTATTTATTAAACAGTATATTTATTTATTTTCGTCTACTGCTATAAATATTCGAGATATCTTATTAAAGAAAAATGTGTGCTCTCCGGTCGATTTAGGCCGTTAAACAAAAATAAATAAATATACTATGCTTCGTCGGGATGTTGGCAAACATTATTTACGACGAATAGAGGGTTTTTTAGTGGCACGCATGTCTCAAGGCCGGACGAGTGTCGGTTGATGATTATGAGCGTTCATTTCATTGAATTACCAACAAAACGCCAGGAAATTGGTATAAAATCGTTTAACCATCCACAAGAACCGTCACTGAACGATCCACGATCTCGTTCACGTGATTGCAGACAAATTTTAAGTCTCATACTAGACTGAACATGCTTCGTGTTATCCCTTTAGCTTTTAAACAAAATTAGCGGGGGTTTGACGTGTGCCTTGAGCTTCGTAAGGAAGCTAAAGATGCTAACTGAAAGTGAATGGGTACCGCTTCTATGACGGAAAGGAAATCAGTGAGAAAAGCAATCAGTTAGAAAGGACATCAGAATGGAAATCAGTTAGAAAGGAAATCAGTAAGAAAGGAAATCAATGAGAAAGGAAATCAGTTACAGATGAAATCAGAAAAGAAATCAGTGAGAAAGGAAATCAATGAGAAAGGAAATCAATGAGAATGGAAGTTAGAAAGGAATTCAGAAAGGAAATCAGTTAGAAAGAAAATTAGTGTGAAAAGCAATCAGTTAGAAATGAAATCAGTTAGAAAGGAAATCAGAGAGAAAATCAATCAGTTAGAAAGGACATCAGAAAGAAAATCAGTTTGAAAGAAAATCAGTTTGAAAGGAAATCAGTTTGAAAGAAAATCAGTTAGAAAGGAAATCAGTTAGAAAGGAAATTAGTGAGAAAAGCAATCAATTAGAAATGAAATCAGTTAGAAAGGAAATCAGTGAGAAAATCAATCAGTTAGAACGGAAATCAGAAAGGAAATCAGTTAGAAAGAAAATCAGTTAGAAAGAAATCAGGAAGGAAATCAGTTAGAAAAGCAATCAGTTAGAAAGGACATCAGAATGGAAATCAGTTAGAAAGGAAATCAGTGAGAAAGGAAATCAATGAGAAAGGAAATCAGTTAGAAAGGAAATCAGAAAGGAAATCAGTTAGAAAGGAAATGATGTTGAAAAGGACATCAGAAAGAAAATCAGTTAGAAAACAAATCAGTGAGAAAGGAAATCAATTAGAAAGGAAATCAGATAGAAAGGAAATTAAAAAGTAAATCAGTAAGAAAGGAAATCAAGATGATTGAGTAATATTTAAATGCATCATTTTTCTCCACAAAATATAACAATGATTTAAAATCAATCATCATTTGCCTCTAAAAAATGTGTGACCCACAGCAAGGAGCGGATAATTCGGCTAGTTATGTATAAAATTAGAAAAAGACAGTTCAAAATTCTTAGACACATAATGAGAAAAGGCCTGAACGTTCAGAGAAATGAGAAATAGCAATAACGGGATTTGAGATGACTAATTTAGGTCAATGAATGCGAATGTTTCTTGTATGGAAACAGATAAACTCACTGTTACGATTACCATCGAAAACTGTAAATAATAGGATTCACTTTTTATATCAGCAAAATAGATTAATTGTTTTGTGTACTGTCCTATATTTCCATGGGCTCCTCTAGTAGAAAAGTAAAAAGTGTCCTATCGTATATATCAGTAAATATCTTATGATGACATCTTATAGCAGCTGCTATGATCATTTATTAAGTAACAAAAGCAAGCCTCTGATCTCCCGTTTGAATTCAGGATCAGTAAAATTGTTCCAAGTCATGCATCGTTTTTACTGATTATCACGATTAATCCACGCGATTATCTTAATATTACTGGATGGAGATTAATAAAGACACCATTAATCCTTACTCAACGCTAATCCTCATGAATAAGGTTTAATCTTCCCTTCTTAAGAGATTAAATTATTCATGCGCGTGCGCACACACACACACACACGCATATATATATATATATATATATATATATATATATATATATATATATATATATATATATATGTATGTATGTATATATGTATGTATGTATATGTCCTTGTTTTTAATACAGCTGCGCCACATCTGGTCTGGTGCTCCTGTTATATATTTAGAGATTATTGATAAAATTAAAAATCTACAATGTTATATGTCCTGACCTGGCATCTCGGCTTCAATCACTTTCCCACCGACGTAGCGTAGCTTCCCTCTGCCTTTTCTATAAATACTTTCATGGAAATTGTTCTGATGAACTTTTACACTATTTTTGCTTATTTTTTTTTTTTTTTTGTATAGAAAATTGTAATCATTGTAAATATTTATTGTGGTTTCTTTTGGTAATGGCCTTTTGAAAACGCAAATAATAGAAATTGATGATTAATGCCAAAAGTTAGGAGCCAAATCTAACTGTGTGTTAATGACTTCGCTCTCATGGAAGGATTTGCGAATCAAGATTAATCGATATTTACGCAGCTTAACTAAATCTGATCATACTGGGCGTCAATCATCCAAATGCTTGGAATTTCTCTTCTTTGACATAAAATATGCATTCGAAATCCGGGTTTTTCGCCTGTTCGCGATCACTCTCTTCTGACTTCAGTGAGTCGTCGAAAAATGTTTCAACTGCTATTTTGGTCCAATTTTCTATTTATTTCATTTAGTTTAGTACGGCATAAGATAAAAATGAGTCAAAACGACATAAGAAGATGTACCAATATTCTACATCGAAAAAAACTTTAAAATCATTATTTAAAATCATGGCTTTCACCTTTTCTCGACCACCGTCCTCTGATTTCAGTGATTAGCATAAAACACGTTCAACTGCAATTTTGGTCCAATTTTCTATTTATTAAATTTAGTTTAGTAATACATAAGGTGAAATGTGGTAAAATGACAAAAGAAGAATATGCTGCTCCAAGATTATAAATAGAAAAAAACCAACATACCTTTAAAATCGTCATTCTCGACAACTATCCTCTGAGGTCAGTAAGTAACATAAAACGCAATCGACTGAAATTTTGGTCCTAGTTGCTATTTATTAAATTCAGTACAGCATAAGGTCAAATGATAGAAGAGAAGAACGTGTTACACCAAGATTTTAAGTGGACAAAAACTGCATAATTTGAAAATCAGAAACCTTTATTTCACTAAGCAGGACCCAGTCATCTAAATATAGATAAAAGAGGTTACTTAATATAGTTTACGGTCACGTAACCTGGTTGCAGTGTTTATGAATGCGATGTTCTGTTGGAAACACAAGATATTGACTTGACGCTACTAAATATTAGCATAATTCGTATTATCATAACGAAGGAATATCTCGTTGCTAAATAGTGAGACCAGGTTGTTAATACATTGTTTTTATTGCTATTTGGTATCATCTGTATTTGGATATTTATACTTTTAATGACTTAAAAGCAGAATTCTTTGATTTTGTTCATCACTTATTTTTACTATTTTTTGCACAATATAAGGCCCAAGATCTATTCAAGGTAAAGTGTTACTGAATAAAGGATTAAGAAGTGCGTATTATATGTAGGATAGATACGGCTGACCCTAAACTGGAATATGTTAAAATTGTAGTGATCAGGGGTCCACACCTCAAAGCAACGGCTCTCTTGAAGAAGAAGTCTGAATGGAACTTCCTCCTTACCAATGGAATACGAGGGGCTGAGAATGATTAAACTCTATGTACGTGTCATGGCTGGTTGTAGCTGTAAAAGCCTTAACTGGAGGAACTAAGCCAGTTTGCCATGGAAATAGCGATGGGGTCGCGAGAGATTTGCGACGTTTCGTCTCTGGTAAAGAGTTGAAAATAATTCAACACCCACAATGGATGGTAGACGCTTTTGAAGTTTGTCAAGTTTGGAAAGAGAGGATTGGGCAGCTCCAGTCTAGATATAGCAGAAAAAAAAATTTTGTCTAATAATGCCAAATATATATATATATATATATATATATATATATATATATATATATATATATAGTGATTTTCCAAGCGTAGCTTAGATGTGGCACAAGGACGAAAGTATGGAGCACCAACTGAAGATCGAACTCACTACTCAGTCGTAATTATTCTAGCAAGACAAGCTTGCTAACTATTACACCGCCTCGACGTGGCCCCCTATATATATATATATATATATATATATATATATATATATATATATATATATATATATATATATATATATATATATATATATATATATATATATATATATATATATATATATAAATATATATATATATATATATAAAAATCATAAAAAATTATGCTGTACGTTGTATTAAAAAAAAAAAAGCAAATGCCAAAGGACTAAATTCTAAATCTGTTTGTTTTTTCTTCATTTTTGTGTGTTTATATATATATATATATATATATATATATATATATATATATATATATATATATATATATATATATATATATATATATATATATATATATATATATATATATATAAATAAAAGACGTTGGTTAGCTCTAGTGACTAGGGCCAAAGAGTTGTGAGTTCAATACCAGGCTCCAGCAGTGGTGAACAAAAAACCTTGGAGAGTTGAGTTAAAGGGAAATAACAGAGACATCAGGAAAAGGCATGTCATGTGGAACTAGAACAATCTACCTCGGTTGATGAAATAAAGGGTTCGGTTCGAAATTCCAATCACCTGAAGTAGGCCGGAACGTACAACTGCCAAAACGTTGTGAATATGGCAATAAAGATGAGGATAACAGTCCGAATAATGTAAATAAACAGGTTCACTTTTAATATAGTCGCCTCCACTTTCAATGGCAGTGTTCCACCTACAAATGAGCGTATGTGACCCAATATACCTCACAATTACAATGTCACCAAATTGTCGAACCAACCATTTAATCACCAGGCTATTGTAGTGTAGTGGATTAAGACGTTAGCTCGTGAATTTGGTGATATATTTGCGGATTCAATCCCTAGGCTAGGTTGTGTGTTTTTGGACTCAGTTGATACAAAGCAATAAATAACTAAACAGTGCTAAAAGAAAATAAGAGTTAGACTATGTATCCCTACACATGCGAAGTGGAACGAGAACAGTCTCAGATTAAATAAAGGGTTCAGAATTCCTTATAGGTTACCCAGATTAAGATATACCTGATGATGGCCAGAAACGTTGTGATAATAACAACAAAGATGAAGTCAATAGTCCACATTTAAATAATGTAAATATTAAAATGTCAATAATAGTAAAATATGAAAAGAAGCAATAAGAAAACATTACAAATTTTCAACTTTGCAAAAACATGAAATAGAAATCACTGAGTTAGTCTGTTAACTTACCATGACGTTAGTTGTTAAGAAATAATTTATCCGAACGAGTAGAAGTTGAAATCCTTGATGATGAAAATAATTTTCCCCTCCTATATTCGTGATCGGTGACAACAACAAAAAATAGTAATCCACAGATTGAAAAACACAAAATATAAATTTATCTTAACTACGATCTTATTAAAGCAATATATATATATATATCAAATACCGACTAGCATTCGCGAAATACATGTGTGGTTATGTATGCGTGAACACACATAATGCATTTTAGAGAGGAATAAATGAATAAAAATGAAATTGTTTACACATCAAGAGCGTGTGACGTTTCCAGGAGTCATCGGATTACGATTAGAAGCAGAAAGTTTACAATGTAAACGGCAACGATTACGGATTAACTTGGGGTTTGGGGATTAGCGGCCAGGGATTTAGAACGAAGTATTTCTAGTGCTGATATATTTCCATTGCAGATGTGTTGGCGTCGAGTAATGGTTTATGAACTCGTTTATTTGAATAGTTTATGAGATCATTTATTTAATATTTAGAGGTGTTCAATCCTCATTGGGTGAACGTGTTTGTGGGACTGGCCTTAAGTTTAGTAAATTACGATATATTTATCTTACCGTCAAAGTTGTCTAGGCTTGATTCGGCATATGTTAAGTAGTGATTTGGTTATTTTTGAAATATGAACGAGGAAAAAGAAAGAAAGAAAGAAAGAAAGAAAGGAAAAAGAAGAAAGAAAGAAACGTCACTGACAAAAATCGAAATATATGAAAGAATGTCTGATAGTAAACATAATGGAATAAGAAAGACGTATTAGTTAACAAGGGAATCATAAGAAAAAATGTAAAAGAGTGATGAAGAAGAAGAATGAAAAGGAAACAAACAAAAAAGAAGGAAACAAAAGGAAAAAATCAAAATGAGGTGGTAAAAAAGGGAAAATAATTAGTGAGGTTTAGGAAAAGGCGGAGCGCTGATAAAAAAGGGCTCTACACTTTTGTAGCAAATGAAAGCGACATTTATTATAGTCGTGCCGGTGGGAATATTTCAATTTATGAGATAAGCGTGCCGGTTCAAATAAATGCTCCGCCTTGAATTTTATATAAGTTTAATAAGCATGAAACGAAATCGTAGCGCGGAGAAAAATATTTGAAAAATAATAAAACCAAATAAACAACGTACAAGGAGGAAAATTATTAAATAATTTAATCGTGCCGGCACTTTTATTTGGGACACAATAATAAGCAAGGAAAAAGAAAGATGGTGATGTTCGTAGCTGAGGTCGTTGTATATTTAGTACTGATGCCAATGATCGATGTTCGAGATGAAAATTTTGAATTTTGATTGCTGATTTTCAAGGCAAACAGAGCACCGTCACTTGTAAAAATGACCCAAAACAAGTGTCCTCATCAAGAAAGCAGGTAGTTTGGGGTTTTTTTTATTAATAAAGAGATTAAATCGAAAGATAAGGTGTAGAGACAGAACTACATATAATTACTCGCTTGATAGAAATATTTTGAAATTTTAATGTTACAATGGATTATAGTATGTGATTGAATAGAAAAAAATAAAATGCATTGCCCTTTCAGGATTGAACTCACAACCTACAGTCAACCACCAAGAAACGTTAGCTTTATTATGGAAACAAATACAATTATCTCGTTGTCAATCCAAGAATTTTCTATCGTATCTGTCCCCAAAGACAGCAGAGGGAACAAAATTTGAAGATTTGAATTACTAAAGGGAATTAATTGATACTGAGATATTCAGAAAAGGCACGGCACGTGGAATTGGAACAATCTACCTCCGTAGATTAAATAAAGGGTTCTGTTTGAATTTCCGACTATATATCACCTGAAGAATATCGTGAGTCTGCACTATCCAATCCAGAGATTGATATCACAATTACTATGCTACCAAATTCATGACACAAATCTAAACACCTGAAGAAGTCCGAAACGTTGTGATAACAAAGACAAAGCTTAGAGGAATAATCTACGTGCAAACAATGATAACGGTGTTTATAGAAAAACGAAAGGAGTGAAAGCAAAATTGAAATAAATCAAAAGACGAAACGAAAATAAGGCAAGAGCAAGAATAAATGAACGAAATTAACGGAGCAAAGACATTGGGTGAAGAATTACTGAAAATGAACTATCAACATAGATTAATATTTGAATATCTTGCTCTCTTTTTAAATTTATTTATTATTTAAAACATTGGTTAATCAATACATACATATTTATTTCTTTTTTTATTAATAATCAATTGGAGCGCAATACAAGAGGAGCTGAAAGACAAAATCGAAATTCGCCATGTTTGTTGATTCGTTTATCCTCTTAAAGTAATAATAATCTCAAGAAAGAATAGGAACAATTTATTTGTTTAAAGGATTATTTAAATTCTAGTAGCACCGGTGCCGTCAAAATATGACATTTAAGTAATTTTGCAATCGCAATAGTTATATTTTCTACACAGATAATCTAAAGTTTTCATCTTTCAGTATTAACTCGAGTATCGCATACAAAAAGAATTCTCTGTCTATATTTCTGGGATGAGGTTAGGTTTGGATTTGTTTGTTTTGTTTTACAGCATATCACCCCCAATGGGTTATTTGATGCCAACAACATTTTTATTGCTGCTAATACTCTTTGTTCAAGAAATTATTTCTGGTATTATTTTTCCCAAAAATCCATTGCTGCATCCATTGCTTCAAAAATGTATTGCGGGTAATTTTTTTTTCCCAAAAATGTATTGCTGGTAATAATTTTTTACAAAAATATACTGCTGGTATTAAAATCTATTTTTACACATTTTGACCCCAGTTCGGGGAGGTTAACTATTAACAGGTGCTACCACCCCGGGTCAGAGTGGACATGGGAACACCAGCAATTAAGAGGTGGTTCCACGCTCCTCAAAGCCTCCTGATCGGAGGCCTTGCTGTCGGATGTAGTTTATCGTCTTACCCAGGACGATCTGAGATGAGGTATTGTAATTATTTACACTATTTACATTGTTTGGACCGCTGTTCTCATCTTTGCTGTCATATTCACATAATCTTTATGAAGTCTATCTAATGCGCAGCCCATTACGCCAAATTTACAGTGTTCAAAAAAAGGGCGTCTACTCAAACATGGATACCAACAAAATAACGTCTGGCGTAGTAGGAAATATATGCATATATTAAATGGTAAGTGTAAGAGCCATGGTCACCTACGCTATGATGGGGCATGGCACTTAAAAAAAAAAGATAGAAATGGTTTTGATAAATAAAATAAATTAGGAGATGTGCTGAAAAGTTATAGACCTGACCAAAACGTTCTTTCCTTCAAAATTGTTGTTTGGCCAGATTTTGGAAAAATATTCAACTTAATTTTTTCGGCACTCCCTCGGAGTTTAAATAATGTCGGATAAAAAACGTATAAGAAATAATGTCGGTTAAAAATAAATCCATTGATTCTTTAGAATCTACTTTACGTTTAGAATACGCAAAAAAAGCGCCGATATGTGCTTTCGGGTAGATATGAATGAGAAAATGCGTATTCTTCAAAAGCGAAATTCAAACTACGACCGTCTCTTTGAACGAGTAGTGTAAAACACGCCTGATAAAACTTTGTTTTTTTCCTAAAAATAGATTCGACCTCTGCTGCAGAGCACATACTCTCCATTAAGTCTATCAAATGCACAGGCCAGTACGCCAAAGTTACAGTGTTTTTTTAAGAAAAAAAAAAGGCATATATTCAAACGTAGGTACTGACAAAATAACGTCTGGAGTAACAGGAAATATATGCATACAATAAATGGTAATTTTAATGGTGTGAATAGCCGTTTCTTTATAAGGGAAACATTCGGTATTCATTGATCAATTACTTAATGTTACTGTCGATTGAAATTTATAAAATAATTTCTTAAAACAGTTTTTCACGAAAACATTTCTTAATGCTACTAACTGCGAACGCTTTATCTAGTATGAATGGGATTTTCTTCTTATCTTCCCAATATATATATATATATATATATATATATATATATATATATATATAAAAGACATTTTTTTATGTTTAACGTTCTTTTTATAGATACAAGTATTTAAGTAAATGCTCTGTTTAAATACTTGTATCTATAAAAGAACGTTAAACATAAAAATGTCTTTAATAATAAATTGTCGGATTTTGTCCATTTCTTAATATATATATATATATATATTAAGAAATGGACAAAGTCCGACAATTTATTAAAGATTTTTTATGTTTAACATTCTTTTTATAGATACAAGTATTTTAGTAAATGCTCTGTTTATAATAAACAGTATTAAATAACATTTACCGGCCTGAATTTTATAAGCAGTAAATTCGACCTTGCCAACCGAACGATTCTTTGTGGCCGAGAGGTTAGGCACGTCAAGCTAAATGTCGGCTCCGTATAGGATGCAGATTCGAATCCTGTGAAAGGACGAATATTTTCTATGAAAATTTCTCGGACATTCAGGCCGGTAAATGTTATTTAATACTGTTTATTATAAACAGAGCATTTACTAAAATACTTGTATCTATAAAAAGAATGTTAAACATAAAAATGTCTTTTTTATATATATATTACTCATGATATCCTGTATATAACAAATAAAATTTCAACAACCACATTACCGATGTTACAAATGCATTCTTCTTAAAACATGAGTATTCAACAACTCAGGAAAAAAAAGGCAGAAAGATGCAGTGAACCATGATTGCTTACATTCTGAAAAGACATGTTATACAAAAATTAAATAACTTGGAATCTTATAAATATCATCATATAATGTTTATATACATACCAGTTTATCCACGTCTTCAACAAATTAGGGCGATATATAAGCAATTCTCCATTTGCATTTTACTTAAAAACTTTACATTGCTCAGCTTCTTTTTTTGTTCATGTTCAATATATCCTAAATATTCTACTTAAGGTAAAATTGTTTCAATCACTTAAATACTCTCAACAGCAGCAGCAACAACAACTAAAACGAATATGGCATTTAACTCGAAGAGAAAATAATGACATAATCAAGATGTTGATTTTCCACACTAACCTAAACAAAAGCTTAGGAAGAAAATCCCATTCGTACTAGATACAGCGTTACCAGTTAGTAGCGTTAAGAAACCTATTTTAGTGAAAAATAAGAAAGAAAGAAAGAAAGAAAGAAAGAAAGAAAGAAAGAAAGAAAGAAAGAAAGAAAGAAGAGTAATGAACTGTTACATGATATCTGTCCTCCTATATGGCAGCGAATGCTGGACAATCTCCGCAAAAAATGTAGAAAAGACTTGAAGCAACAGAAATCTGGTTCTACAGAAAGATGTTGAGGATACCATGGACCAAACATTATGAGAAACGACGAGGTTTTAGAGAAAATGGAAACAAAAAGAAAACTTATACTTAACATCAGGAAGAGACAATTAAAATTTCTTAGGGCCCAAAATGAAGTAAGAAGACTTGGAAAATCTGATACCCACAGGACAGACTGAGGGAAAGAGAGACAGAGGAAAGCAGCACGTCACATACTTAATGGACGTTAGTAAATGGATGATAGAACAAGGTTTGGGAGAAATAACAAAAAGGCAAACTCTGTTAAGAGCTACAGGAAAATATGAAGAGCCATGATCGCCTACGTCCTGAAGGGATACGGCACATAAAGGAAAAAAGAGCTGCAGTGTTTATTCAAAGCGATAACTTAATGATGGATGAAAAAAGAAACCGCGGTAAAAAAAAAGAAAAAAAAAGAAATTGTATTGTTGCATAAGAAGCCCGAGGGGGTCGAGGAGAAACAGAAACTTGGTGCTACAATATCTGATATAGTGAAAGTACAACATTCCACACTATAGTCTGGAATACGATATGCATTTATGTGGAGAGATAACGCACCGTATTTGATGGCATATAAAATAACCCCATTTAGGTCTAATATTACACTCTTATATGAGAACAGCGTCTAAGTAAACATTAGCCTCGCAGATAGCTTATGACCCGGGAAGTACAGTACATGCGATAAGTAATAGGGATAAAGAAAAACAAAAACACAGAAGACAGATTCCTAAAGCATTAGATTAATATCTTTCTCTATAGGTTAGTTCAAAATTATTTTCTCAATTTCTGTCGTTTTATCATAAATATTCGGTGTTACCTACCCTGTTTGTTTCCTTGAGCAATTTTTATCCACTGTCGACGCCAGTCACAGCTTCATCAGTGCCCCGTTGACCAGCATAACCTGTTTCCACTTCTCACGACGCGAACGAGGGGTTGGGTTTTGGGAACACACTGACCAACTCAAGCTGCGTGAAATACAACATGAAGATCAGTGTCAATACGGCCGAGGTCATGACCGTCAGTAAGAGACCAGAAAAAGTGAACATTAACATAAATGGGACCCAACTAAAGCAAACTAGTGAATTCAAATATCTGGGCAGCATATTTACTGAAAACGGCAAACTGGACAGAGAGACTGAGATGAGATCTCAGAAATTCAAAGCAGTAAGTTACCAACTTGCGGCTCTTCTAAAACATCCTAGCATTTCCATGAGGACCAAGGCAAATCCCATCAACGCCATTTTCCTACCAACGCTGACATACCAGTGCTAGATATGGCCCCTAACAAAAAACCTTGAGAAGAAACTGGTCACTTGAGAGATGAAATGCCTGAGGCAATCGACATTATATTTTGGTAGATACATGCGTTTGAGTAGTTACCTTGTTTTGTTTTGTTTTGTTTTGTTTTGTTTTGTTTTTTTGTTTTGTTTTGTTTGTTTGTTTTTTGGGGGGAGGGGAGAGGGTATTTGTGGTTTTCTTTGTTTTTGTTTAGTTTTTTTGTTTTGTTTTTTTTTGTTTTTTTAAACAGTGTGAATTATATCTACCGGTCTGTGCTTTCGAGAGTGTTTTTTTTTGCGGGGGAGGTTATAAATATGTCCTTCGGCAGGCTTCGAAACCATGTCCCCTGTTCTAATAGAAACAACTGTCTGATGCGGTGTTCATTCGACTCTGCGGCCGATGAAAATTAGATCATGTGATAGAAGCAAAAATAGAAGCCGACCTATTGATGGAAACGACCCATGAGACCATCTGCTTTTAATGGCGTCTGACATTTCCAAGAACATCGCCGAAATGTTACGAAGAAGGCGCCACACGTTCATCGATAATATAAAAAAAAAACTTTCATTTTGAAAAGCACGGAAAGGTTAATTATGTAAAAATAATAGTGACATAAGGTAAATAATTCGTAAAAAGGGAAATACATCTCTTCTCAACAGTATATTAATATTTTTATTTATTTATAAAAGGAAAGAGATGTAAAGAAAACAAACACTTGGTGCTAGTATTGGCGAGAATTACCGTTTTTATACGGGAAGTATTGACAATCATTGACCAGCGTTGGAATTTATGAAATCTTTTTCTTAAAACAATCTTTCAGAGAAATAGAAATAGTTCACCGATATTACTCTTTCTAATATTGATGGAATTTCGTCATATATATATATATATATATATATATATATATATATATATATATATACATAATTATTTGTTTAAAAATATGATTCAATCGCTACATAAGAGTTCTCATGTTTCAAAACAAGAGCCGCAACCTTCAATATAATTATTTGAATTAAATTGAATTAAAGTACCAAGCTCTGTTCCATCTTCAAGCGAATTTTTTTTTGAATAACTAATTCCTAAAATTTACGCGTTTTATAAGCATATTCATTATTAAAATTAAAATTACTATGGTAACGGCTAGAGCAATATTATAAAAAAAAAAAATGGGGGGGCGTAAGGGTTAATAATTTGTATCAATATCTCAGTTACATTCAAAGAGGTCAGAGTCAGGGTTGGGGTGTCTAAATTTAAAGCGCAAGATGACATCGTTTAGTCTAGTTAAGTGTCTTTGGAGATTTATATATTTTTTTGTTTTTTTCCTGAAAGGGTTTTGTGTATATATAGAAAAAACTGTCATAATTCGCTAACACTTCATAAAGGGTTTTCTTTTTTTTCCTATTTTCTATATATTTTTACACACACACACACACACACACACACACACACACACACACACACACATATATATATATATATATATATATATATATATTATGCAACGTTAAAAAATAACGTTGAAACAAAATGTACAGTTTTGTAGTGGGTATGTACATGTTCTAATGTAACACTGCATGATAGATAAATATTTATTGCTCTACATTTGTATTGAGCCCGGTTTTAAATTAATATTTTGAAAGCTGAAATCTTACTCTTTTTACTATATATATATATATATATATATATATATATATATATATATATTATGCAAAGTTAAAATAATAAGAAAGGACAGTAAGATTTATAATCCGGAGTTCTTAGCAATTATTTTTATTTAAAACAGTAGAGTATAATATTATAATTGTTTTCTTTTAAAAAAAAAAATGATTCCATCGCGAAACAGAAATTTCTGTTTCAAAACTGAAACTAAAATTTATATTTAATTACGCTGAAAAAGGATGTCTATGTTTGTGAGCAGGCACCCCATCCCACCTTAACCTGACTTATATTTGATACAGAAGTTGTCTAGGGAAATTAAAACCCAACCACCCCTAATCAAAATAGATCGAATTTTTCTTAACCTTAACAACTCAAAATATTGATTGTCTGCGCTTATAAATTAAGTAACTTAAGTTATTCCTAGCATCGTTTGGCAATGGAACTTAATATGTATAATTATAATTTTTATAATTAAATTTACACTTTTAGTTTTGAAACATAGAAATTTCTGTGTCGCGATGGAATCATATTTTTAAAAAGAAAATATATATATATATCATTATATTAATTCATCGAGTCTAGAAGAAATCTCAATAGAATGCTGAAAGCACTGGACGGCCGTTTCGTCATACTTTTGGGATTTATCGGAAGTGCACATCCACTACCGAGATTCGAATCCGAACCGTTTTGATTCGATACAACGCAAACGTCTTACCAACTATATATATATATATATATATATATATATATATATATATATATATATATATATATATATACTAGCAGTAGAGCTCGGTGTTGCCCGGGGATGTAACAGTAAGAGATAGATTAAGTATCGACCATCATAAAGACTGAAAAATAAAATTGACAAAGATTATTGTTTAAGGTTGACGGACACGCATGTCTTATTTAGTTTGTATTTTTTTACGAATTGGTCAAACCCAAACTCAAACAAAAACATTGTTTTCAATCATTATGAGTCTACCGATTGAATAGAATTTTATTATAAACAATTGTCTTGTAAATGGAATTTTTAAAGCATTCTGAATGTAAAAATAAAGAAAAAAGTGTGCAAGACAATAAGAAACACTACCTGCCAAAAAAAAAAAGTGGAGTTTTGTTGAAATCGGTTGAAAAATGTAGGAAATCCGATCCCATATATAAACGAACACACACACACACACACACAAACAAACAAACAAACAACCTGGTTTTTATAATAAGTATAATTCGATATGAGTTGTCCCCCTTTCATTCTAGCAATGTCATGTTTTCAAATTGATTTCGTGCAAAAACAATTATGTTTTTCAATTTTGGCGCTGTCAGAACCACCGCAAGGAAATTTTACGTAGTCCTGTGACGTTTTGTTGTAATCGGTTGAAAAATGTAGGAAATCCGATCCAATATATAAACGAACAGACACACACACACACACACACAACCTGGGTTTTATAATAATATATATATATATATATATATATATATATATATATATATATATATATATAAACAAGTTTGATTTGAATTAAAAGGACTGTCAAGGTTTGTCTGTTTAATTTTCTATTTTATTTTTCCGATTTTCGAATAAAGTGCCGTCGACCTCGCAAGGATTTTATTCAGTCATTAAATTAAACATTTTGATTCATCAGAAAATTCAAATAGGAAAACCGTAAAATTTTCACCAGTTCTGCTAACAGAAATAATTTCCATTTACTCGAAATTTATTTCTTTGAAAATCTTTAAACATAGTCCACAATTTGTTTCAAATCACTCTCGGTCTGTTAAGAACGAAAAGATTATGTTCATTTCAGTCATTTAAGTGCCGTACATGATACACGTTTGGGCGATCATGCATTTTTCGATTCAGGACTGATCAAGCAGAAAATATTCCCGCAGCAGGTTGCCGTTTCTTTCTGCGATAGACTAGTTGCAAAACAAGGCTATAGAT